TCCAGGAAAAAGTTGTAAATACTATCGGTCGCACAGATTTTCTATATGCAGATAGCGAGGAGCTTCCGGGGACCTGGAACCTGGAACATTGTTCCACCTCATGACAATCCGACCATTGGGCCATTAAACGATTGCAGCTACCATTTGGCAGGTCTGCCTGCTGCAGTTCTTGAAGGATAGCGAGCAAGAAGAGTTGGATGAGGAGTACAATTGTAGCCGAGTAGACCAGGAGATGTTGAAGATCAATGAAGAAACGGATGAAGAAGAGGAAGAGTCTGAAGACTGAGACTAAAGAGTGGCGCAATGATGGCGCTACGTCACCCGACGTGACAAATTCGGAATTATCTTGACAGATATGTCTCCTCTCGTGTTTGTGTATGTCTCTCCACTTGGCCTTTCATCGAGAGCTTCTATTCCTGGACTGGTGGGCTACCTTTTTGCGAGGGCTCAACGCTCGAGCATCACAGATAATTTTTCCATTGCTCTGTAACAGGATCGGTGAGAGTTACACCATTTGGGACAGTGTTGATCATCCTTTGAATCAGGTCTCCGCAAGTTTGAGTGAATTTATCGGAGGACAGTAGACTAGCAAAGGCTTGAAAATCATTTACACTGGATTTTGAGAGGGAAGAACGCACCTCTGCATGGTCACATTTGCGTCACTCGAGAAAATCCGAAAGTCTTGATCGTGTTGTAACATTTGGGCTACCGAACAAGTACATCTGTGGTGTTTTGGAGATATTGGGAGACTCTGTCAAAAGACCTTGTTTGAAATAAAGTCGAGCGATACGCGTAGTTTTGGCTCACATCGTGGTATCAAAAGCCGGAGTCGTATCAAAGGTGTCAACGTCAGTCGCACCCAAATTCTCCGTTACAATCAGAGGGAAGTCTTCTTGTCTGACTCACCTAGTGTATGCCCGCATGAAACAAGGGCTATCATTTCTGTTTGATTAAAACCCTGGCGCTGAAAGGCCTCTATGTGTGACTCAAGAGGCTGTTCTGTTGTGTCTCCGGAAGGGAGGCGGCCATTCCGAGTCCGATATTCTGTGAGCCGGCCATGAGTTATTATGCCAGAGGCAAGACCTTGTAGATCAGTATACCAGAGGCCTGTCAAGCTCATTGAATCGACGCATCCAATCCTCCTGTTCCGTCGTCTACATTATGAGTCGACATGTCGTGATAAGCCTGTTCAAAACTTCTAAATGTTCACTCAAACACATTTTCAGTCTACTCACAATTCGAAGCCATTGTGCAGATATAGTGGTGTTATCCCTTGCCGTGCAATTTTGCACAAGATTATTCATATCATTTGTGGAACTGAGGAGCTTTTCGTCCACGTAACGCAGTAGGGTGTTGGGCTATGGAAATGCGGAGAAGCCTTAGGCGTAATCGGCCAAGGTGCACGCTATAAGCAGGAGTCGGAATAGTTGCACCATGGGGAAGTGAGATGATTAGAAGCCAGCGATAATGGGGAGGTCAGATTGAATCATTTTCCATATGTGCACTTCGATGACAGAAAACCGAAGGCGACTTCAAAATATTCTGAACACGAACACGGTTGCTATAGCTGGATGTCATGATGCTTAGTAGATAAGTTTGGCAAGAATCTAAGATGGAAGCGGCGGGTACAGAGAATCTCGACTCCAATCCTACTCGATGATGTGAGCAAGAAACAGAGACGGCTCGGCACAGGGAAAACAACGGAATAAAACATCCAAACACTTGACCTGTCGCAGCCATTCTCCACTTGGGATATCAAGGGTCCAGCGACGAACCAGAAGCTGTTGAGACAAGGATGGCCGAGATGACTGATCATTGAGGGTTCAAGAATTTGCGGGCAAAATACGCCTGCTCTATTCAGAGGTAGCGGGTACCTATCATGTATCGATGTGCTTGAAGTGAATTAACGTCGCTTTATACTGCAGAGTTAATAAGAACTGACAGTGTGAGATTGAACAAGTTGAACGGCGCAGTGATGCTTAGTACTGTACTTTAGCGCTGCCGATTTCCAAGTGCTGCGCTAAAAGGCAATAGAATGAGCTGTTGCGCTACTGCGTAGCGATATAATGGAACTGGGAGGAACAACATGAGCAACGTACACGACGGTACCTTGCGTACTTGAGTGAGCGCCAATACTTCAAGCGGAGATTAACCCAATATACCCCACCGCACTCTACAACGACTCACATTCCATGAAGGTTCTCGGTTTCAAGTACGTTAAATCAAGAGTATTACGGGATGCCACTCGCTCTCTGCGCTCTTAGTCGACTGTACCATTAGGTATTCTCCCCTGGCCGAATTGACACTAAACTCGATTTATAGCAAGGCACTGTTAGTGGAGTGGTTATCACACTTATCTGCCATGCACTTGAGCAAAAGTCAAAAGCGGCTTGGGTTTGATTCCCGAACAGTCTACATATACGTATATTTGTTGATTGATCTTTTCTTTGTTCATGTGAATACTTGAAATTTTCTTGCTGTTTGAGACAAGTCTGAGATGTAAACGACTTTCAGCCCAATTAAATTAAGCGCCCAATTATCTTGAACATGACCATCATCGAGCAACTTCACTTCAAACTTGGCCTCACAGCCAGCGATACCATCGAAATCAAACTTGAACGCTATGATATCAATCTCTCCAACTTGAAGGCCTTCAATCAGGCTCGAAATCCAAGATTCCAGTGGCAGCTCGACTCGACCAAGCAAAGTTTGCATCTTTGAACTCTCAACCTGCAGGCTGTTCTGCTATACGATGATATGAGCGGTTTAAATGCAGATTGGTGGCGCACCAATGTTTAGCCAAGAGGAAATTGAAGAGTTGACGAAGAAGAGCAGGACGAGGTAGACCTCTAGGTACGTGCATGGATATTAGTTCTTTTGCTATCGCATCGCATAACAAATAGATCAGACTTTATCTGTTGATATATATGACGACCTACTCTCACTGGCCGTAGTGAAGACTCTGAATTCTCTGCTCACCAAGAACGCCCGGAAACCCAACATAAGGCGAGCCTAGAACTACTTCAAGCGGGTTCGAGGGAGGTTGTTTACTGCTCGGTGGATAGACGGCCTGCTTGGCTGGGATTCTTGATATAGCTGTGGAGATGGAGAGCGAGATATTGAGGTTCAGGAAAGCGTTTGTGGGTATCAGAACGAGTATTACATCCTGTTGCTTGTCGCTATCGTCGTACAAAACTGGTATCAACATCGTCTACGGCAATACGAATACGAGATACAGACAAGTCTATCTGCCTCCTGCTAGAGTCCACTTCAACTCGAACAAAATCCCTACGTCTCGTCCATCTCATCCATGTTCCCTTTTACCGTATCGTCGCTTATACCTCCACACCACTCACATTTCGCCTATCGCAAGCTGCTATCTTTTTCACATCTGCCGCATACCCCTGCTCTTCAAGTCTTTGTGATCATGGTCCTGCGCTGAACCCCCAAGTTCTCAACACCCATTTCCCGGACTCGGAATCAGGAATTAGATTTCGTTGTGCTATACGTTTGGAGACTTGTAAGGCATGGAACTCGGGATTTTAGTGGTGGGCAATTGGAGCGGAAATCGGGAGCTGGTATTCAAGTTGTCGAGGTGTGCGCGGAGACGTCATTTACCTTGATTCCGACTACCACTCCCGCCTACAATGCGGGCGCATTTCTTTCCCTCTTTGTGCGTGCAGGTACGTACCATACTCGTTTTCATTTGATTTATTGCCGGAGATTCTAGTTAACGCTCTACTACTAGTAAAAGTCGTCTTATTCCTTGCCAGCTACCGACGTCGCCCCATTCTTCATAGGCATTCCTGCCGTCTGTTGCTTGCTTCTCTCCGAGTTCAACGCCCCCTTCCCCTCCGAGAATTATGGAAGAAGAGGTGGAGTGGAGTTTAAGTTGGCATATGCAAATGTGCTCAGAGATGCGGCGGCCGAATCTAATTCTGGGACACATATCTATGAGGAGTAACTCTCAGGATCCACTTGCTTATTGCCACAACAATTTTATCGAACTCGGAAATAGTGGGGGGGGGGAGTTCTACCAGTGTTTGGTGCGCTTGAAAGCAACAAACATCGAATCTTGCTCAATTGCGAATCCTGAGCCACCATTATCAACAATAACTGGATCAGAGCCGTCGTTGTCGCTGATTTCGAACCAAAACTTGGAAATGAAGAAGTAGCATTGATAGTCGCGTTAAAGAGGTATGGTTCAGCGGTAACGCCTTGCGCTTGGGGACTGAAGGTGACTTTCTCGGTGCTGGATGATACTACGGAGCATTCGGTGGATGGACAGAAGGATCCCTGTCGGTCTGCCCACAGCATAGTCACTGCGGAGTTTGCTCTCGGGTTGAGAACCGATAGGTTTATCTCATTAGTAACGCCTGGATATTGAGGTCAAGTACGTACTCATAAGGTGATCATCATGAAGGTTCCATTTTGGAGGGATCGGAGACCACATGATTAGATGGCTTTGTGACAGGATCGGTGAGAGGTACACCACTGTTGAACATCCTTAGAATCAGGTCTCCGCAGGTTTAAGTGAATGTATCGGATGAGAGTAGACTAGCAAAGGCATGAAACTCATTAACACTGGATTTTGAGAGGGAAAAACGCACCCTTGCATGGCTACGCTTGTATCACTCGAGAAAATCCGAAAGTCTGATCGTGTTGCCAACGACAAGTACATCTTGGGTGGTGTTTTTGAGATATTGGGAGGCTCTGTCAAAGACCTTATTCAAAATCAAGTTGAAGGGATATGCCTAGGTTTCGCTCACATCGTGGTGTCAAAAGCCGGGGTTGTATCAAGGTGTCGACATCAGTCACATCCAAATTCTCCGTTACTATCAGAGGGAAATCTTCCTGTCTGACTCCACCTAGCGTATGCCTCATGCAACAATATCATCTCTGTTGATTCAAACCCTGGCCCCAAAGAGACTATGTGCGACTCAAGAGGCTTCTGTGACTCCGGAACAGTTGGAGGGCCCGCTACAGTAGCGTCAATTCTTCCAGCACTAAAACGAATGAAAGGCCCTATGCATCCTGCAACAGCAAATACTGCTCCTAGGGCGATCGCATCCGCCACTGTCAAGAATTAGCTCTCAACTTGGTTTTAACATCCAAATTCATCACGTACTTCCGAGAAGTAGAGTAACGACTCCGGAATTATTGAAATCGCTCAGGGAAGTAGCCATTCCGAGTCCAACATTTTGTGAGCAGGTCATGAGCTATCATCTCAGAGGTAAGACCTTGTAAATTATACCTGAGGCCTGTCAAGCCCATATTGAATCGACGCATGCAGCCCTCCTGCTCCATCGTCTACATGAGTCGTGATATGCCTGTTCAGAACTTCTAAGTGCTCACTCAAACACGTTGCCGATTGCGCAGATATAGTGATGTTATCCCTCGTCGTGCAATTTTGCACAAGATTATTCATATCATTTGTTGAGCTGAAGAGCTTTTTATCGACGTGATGCGTAGGGTGTTGGGCCATGGGAGTGCAGAGAAGCCGTGGACGTAACCGGCCGAGGTGTTGTGAGCAGGAGTCGAAATAGCTGCACCATGGAGGAAGTGAGATGATTGGGAGCCAGCAAGAATGTGAAACTATATTTTCCTTGATTGAATCATTCTGAATTTCGATGACAGAGAACCGGAGGCCACTTCGAAATATTCTGAACACGAATGGTTGCTATAGGCTGGCTGGAAGTCATGAGATAAGTTCGGCATGATAGAAGCTCCGAGTACAGAGAATCTTCGCGACCCCAGCCCGAATCGGCGATGTACGTGTAAGAAGTGATAGGGACGGTCGAAACACGCCTCTTCAATTCAGAGGTAGCACGTACCTATCGTCTATGGATCCACTTTGAATTGCCGTTGTTTTATACTGCGGTATTAGAGTTACGTTCCTAAATAGGAAGTAGCAGCAGTAAGTCCACACAGGACTTAGTAGTAACGATCACACAGATCGATGGGGGACAACGGTGTTATTACAGGGTATGGTACCTAAGCTTATATACAGTCCTAAGTACAAACGATATATCAGGCAAGTGGCTACTGCGTGAATATGTGTGGCTACTATGCATACGGTAAAGTGGGTACTGCGAGAGAGCAAGTGGAT